GCACTAACATACAGAATGCCAATAAATCCTCAGCGTGCCAGTCGTTCCAGCCGGGCTCAGTTTTAGCGGCTATAGTTCGGTTTATCCAAAGCAGTGGTTTGTTTCCCATGAAATATAATTAGAACGTGGAGAATAAATATGAAATAGTTTGTACTCCATACATCTTATATAAGCGTCAGTTATTTATCAGATTCATACAAGACTCTAAATATGTTGTGCTGCATTACCACTATAGAGCATGGGCATCACGCGTATTTTAAAGATAAAATCTTTGTAATATTACTATTAGTTGCCCATATTTCTCCTAAAGAAAGGCAATATAAAGTATAAGCCTACGTCTCATGAGACGGAGGACAGGTTTTGAAACTAAAAGGCCTGCTTTGGCAAAGCAAAAAGATCAATAATGAAAATAAGACAATAGTAAAACCAACTAAGAGGATGACATAAAATACACCAGGAATTCAAGAGCAGGATTAGACTATATATACATTTCCACATGTCTGTCTGTCGGTGAGCCTGTGCAAACTGTGCCCGATGTGGACTTCTGCTGCTGTTACCCATCTGCTTCAAGGTTTGATGTGTTGTGCATTCAAAGATGCTCTTCTGCATTGTGATTGTTTGAGTTACCATTGTCTTGGATATTGTTTTCTGTGTTGGACCATTCTCTGTAAAGCCTAGAGATGGTTGTGCAGGAAAATCCCAGTAGCTCAGGAGTTTCTTAAATATTTAGAACAGTCCATCTGTCGTTAACAACGATTTGGCGTTCAGTCACTTAAATCACCTTTCTTTTCTATCCCGATGCTCACTTTGACAAAAAGTGAAAACAATAAACACAATCACAACAAAAGGAAGAAAAACAACAGATGCTGAAGACTAGCCTAAACTCAATCACAGACAGTGAAGCACAGAAGGCATAAGCACACAAACACAACAGAGGGAAATCAGTTTGGACACAATGGGAAAACAGCAAAACAGAAAGAAGAATAATTTTACAATCAAAACAAGTCCAAAAATACCAAAATAACTGTACTAGAATAATAATTAAGTCAAATATGAATTTAAAACTCAAAAGCCACAGAAAATCTTAGAACTGTGGTATCACTGTTTAACAGTGACAAGCTTGTGTCTTGCAACAAGCCAAGAGAAGAAACAATGGAAACTAAAACAGAGTGTAATTGGTTCAAATGTCAGTGAATTGCTCGAAGTTTCAGTAAAGCAGTTGTTCCCAAACTGTGAAGCTGACCCCCCTGGTGGGACAGAGAGCCATTGCAGGGACGGCGCTGACAGTCAGGGTAAATGCGTGGTGGAGCGAAGCGAGCACAAAGTGTGCAGGAGGGCAAAGAGTACGCTGATGGGTCTTTATTTTACTTACATTTCAGCTTTGATCCTTTAAACTACAAAAAAGAAGAAGCTTCCCTCTGAGCTTCTTGGACACAAGCTAACATGGCACAAAAAAGGTGAAATTACCTTTACCATGAAGTAAGTAGTTTTACTTTTAAGTTAGTATAGTTTATATTATTGCTTGAGTATCTTACCTACGTAAAAGACCCAAGTGTCAGAGTATTTCTTAAAATTTCTCCGAGCTGATTGACCTGAGCTGCTTGCATCTTAAACAGCACACCTCGACATTTGGTGTTACATTTCTTTCACTATGCACTTCCTGGTCTGCAGCATTGCTTCAAGCGCATCTGCATGTCCCAAATCCATCCTTGCATCCATTTCAAATCTCACCACATCCTGAATCCACCCCTACAAAGTTTTCACAGGGCCTGTCACCCTCGTGTTGCTGTTGCAGTCTTTGACATTTCACCTATTGCCATAATTGGAGGGATCTAAAGGCCCTATGTGTGGCCCTCTTATCCCCACTATTGTAAAAAGTTGGGAGCTTAAATGAGGAATGAACTTTTCGCTTTGGCTTTGCTGCTTTACTCACCCAGGATGCTGCCTCAGTGGAATCCATGCATTCTGATCGTCCCAAATCCATCCTGTAAACACTGCATTAAATATTGATCACGGGTATCATGCAGAACAACTTTTTATTTATTTATTTATTTATTTTTGCTGCGCTAAGGCTTGTGTGAGGTTTTCTTCCTAATGAGACATTTGAAGTGCTGCGAGTCATCCTCACCACCGCAGATTTGATCAAAGCTTTGGAGATTATTGAAATTAGTGGTGCATGACAGGCTTTATTATAATGATCACCGAGGAAGGCTTACATAAAATACACACAGCGGTTAATGCACATATTCCTCCGCTTGTCCTGAAAAACCTGCAAGGCGAAGTAGAAAAATCTGCTGGAAGTGATAGATGTACACATTTTCGGTCCAAAAAACCCAAACAAACAAAAAAGCCTAGAAAGGAAGTCGGTTCTTTCTTTGAGGCCTCAGCAGGGAATAATCCACGGATGACCGTAGCTGTGATCACCAGCTGTGATCTTGCCTTTTGTGAAGCATCTGTAGAGCTACAACTGTTTACACTATTAAAAACATATTGTACTTTACCTGTTGTGTAGCTTAAACAGACATCCTTAAGGACACAATCTCTCACACACACACAGCCCACAGCTCGGTAAACAAGAAAGCATGGCTGCCTCAATGAATGTGTCAAAATGCTTTGTGCCTGGCTCCATTAAAAAGGTGCTCTCATATTGTGTAAAAATAGATGGCATGTGGAAAATAATAATAACCTTGCACGTAAAGAGGGCGCCTCTTACACTTACACTATGGTATCATTTAACATTTATTTTTTTATTTTAAATAATACAATAAATATACTACAAACGAACATTGGCTTTGGTAGAGTTACAAGTTCATCAGTTTCTCTCCACTTCACAATTGTGGACATGACCTTTTTATTCTTCTTCTTCTTCTTTTTTTTTCCATCTGTAGCAATGAAAAAAAAAAAAAAAAAGCTAACGTATCCTGATGAATAACACATGGACCGGAGATCATGCCACGCTACAAAAAAATCATAACAAGAGAAAAAACTTTACAATTTCATGCATACAGATAGGTTTTAATGCTTCAAAAGACATACAAGAGTGGATGGCCACAGTAAACTTGGATTTATTGACATAAAAATCAAAGTATCTTCTATCCTCTGATCCTTACACAGGTTTGACAAAACTGTGAAAAACAAACAAACAGAAAATCTACAAAATGAAACAAAGACAAAAAAAAAAAGAAAAAAAGAAAATAATGGCAGCATCACTGCTGGTTCTGGAAATTTACAAAATAATTGTTTGTCCTTTTTAAAAAAAAAATAAATCATTATAATTATTATTGAGAGCGGAGTGTTAAATTTGGATTTACTGCATCAAATGAAAAATAAAGCCAAAGATCTACAAGCATATTGAGTTATCTTAACAGAAAAGGTTCAAGTCACATATTTAAAGATTTTTTTTCTCTTTTTTTAAAAAGGAAGCCAAAAAAAAAAAGAAGAGCTGTAACAATTCTGTGGTAGATACTAGTGGTCATAAGCATAAAGAGTGCATAGTTTGAACAAAGAGCAATATTACAATAAGGGCAAAAAATAAAAAAAGAATTATAGACCGATAGGCAAGTTTTGACGCTGCATGAACAAACCGTTCCATCTGGCTAATCAACAAGTTTCTCGAGTTGTTTTCCCATAACAAAAAAAAAGAAAAGAAAAGAAAACCTTTGGTGGAAGGACCTTCTAATTTGCACTGTATCCATTTGGCCCAATTGCAACATGTCCATCTTTTAACCTAGTTTCATGTGGCACACATGATCAAAAAAAAAAAAAATGCAGCGTCACAGAGCATTGATACGCAAAGCCAACAGCACCATCTTAGATCCCTCTCGTCATTTCCAACATTTGTTACAGACCCATTTCTTATCTGTGTGGTCCGCTGAAGCAGGAGATAACATGCTGCACTGATCTCAGAGTGGCTATGAATGGGAAACAAACAAAAAAATAACGGCATGCATAAACCACCACTGGATGCTCAAGCGAGTCAAAGGGGCTGGTGGCGATGGAGTTACTCTCAGCACAAGTTTTCCATATTTCAAACACAAAACTAGAAAAAATACATAGCACCACAGAAGAGAGAGAAAATAGCACCTAGGTTTCGATTTCTTTGTGTTTTCGTTACAATGTGACATCATCACCATCATCATCTCCCACTGCAGTCAGATTTCAGGAAACGTGAAGAAGGCTTTTATTAAGTTAAGAATATTGCCACCAATGCGGTTTGTTCTGTTCAGAGGACACAAAAAGGAGGAATGTATTTTTTTTTGTTCTTTTCGTTTTCTGTCTGCAAATTAACTGTCACATAATAACAGAGCTTGTTTTCGTCCTTTATTTCCATTTTGTTCTTAAATTACAACAAAGGCGTGCTCCACAGTTGCAACAAGACAGGACTCACCACGGGGTTGGGGTTTGTTTTCTGGATTTTGATTTTACAAGTCGAATTCTCTCACTTTTCTACAATTTTGGATGTCGTCCACGCTCTCCTACCTCACAAATATAGAAAGTCACATGCATGTTTTGAAGCCAGAAGCAATAAAAGATA